TAAGTTCCATCCCTTGTACCAAAAAAAAGGCAAGTTTAAAGAAGACCAGGAAAACACCCACTGTGGCATTGGGGTGGGTTGTAAAGGATTGTCAATCAACAAAAATTTGAAGCAATTAAATGCATGAGAAACTACAAAATCAGGAAAAGCTTGTCTGCTGGCCATAGCTATGAAGTCTATCTGGGTCATCAAAGAGCAGCATGGCTTCTTCCTGCTTTCTCAGTCACTGGCTGGGGAGAGAGGTGGCTGGGGAGAGGGGTGATCAAGGGTGAGGACAACAAACACCTCATGAAGATGGGAGCTGCCCTGAAAGGCCTTCCTGTTCTACTGCAGTGCCACCAACATCTCCACTGCAACCTCTCCCCGAGAGCCTGAGCCTTTCAGTTGCTAAATTTTGGGGAAATCTGTTATCCAGCAACGAATAACCAAAGTAACAGGTGAGGTATGAAGTTTTCTGCTCAACGGAATGAAGTTCAGCAATAACATGCAGAATGGATGGAATGGGAAGCACTCTCCCCTTCTGCCACCACACAGAACAAGTCCTGCACGTAGTAATACGGTATCTGGCAACCTAGCTTGCATACAGGGTTCCCTACCTGACCCAACAATATGGTCCTGATGTGAGTTAAAAGTAAAATGGCTCCTTAGAGCCTCACAGATCTACAATCTGTAGATTTTTTGAACGTCCTTATTTTATTATTAGCACAAAGCAAAGCTACTTCAAGAGTTACAAATATGTTACCAATGAATACCGAGACCCATTAGAAGTTCTTTTACCTAAATTTGATCAAAATCGAAGAGTAGCAAGAAAAGGATTCTGGACAGACTACAGGTAGCTTGCGATAGAGTGGAAAGGTGTACCCAGCAGGATAGCTCTAGCTCTAGCACCACACAGGAGAATTACTGTATGCGAAAGCACTGTACTGCCGCAATCATATAGTCCTTAGCAAATCTCAATGATGACCCCAACATGTTGTGCGGTAGTTTACAAGTTTAGGCTCCAGCTGAGCGTGGTGGCACACGCCTGTAATCCCACCACTTGGAAGGCTGAGGCAGGAGGATCACTGTGAGTTTGACACCAGCCTGGGCTACATACTGAGTTCCAGGTCAGTCTCAACTACATAGTGAGACCCTGTCTCAAAAAACCAAAGTTTAGGCTCCATACTGTACTAGAAAAAGCTCTTCCTCCTCATGCTACTGGGACAGTGAGCTATAAGCCAGTTTTCCTAATGTTAAAGCAAGTTATACTCAAAACCTGCAAGTGACAAGGCTGGATTTCAGACTCTGACCCACAAAATGGTAAAGGCCAACGCCCATGCTGACCAGTAACTCCAATGCTGTCCACCTCTCCTACCAACCCCCGTGATCACATGGATGCTTTCGACCTGATCCCTAGATTTACCCAGAAAGGCTGGTAAAAGTAGCTGAAAGGGATCTTAGCATTTTCAAAGTAAACCATGGTTTATAATCTAACTGGAAGGGGAAAAAGACCTAATAGAAAAAAAAAAGACAAAAAATAAAGACAACCACAAAATAGAGGCTACTATCAACATATCTATAAGAAATCAAGGGTGAGCCGGGGACTTGGCTCAGTAGTTCTACCACCTGCCTCACAAGCACAAGGGCTCAAGTTCGATCCCCAGTATCCTCCCCCGAAAGTCAAGGGTAGTACTTTACTCTGCAATCCAATTCAATAGCTTGTAATACTTTGTAAACTGAAATAATTGGGATTTTTTGTGTGTTTGTTTTCGGTTGTTTTGAGACAGGGTCTCACTACGCATTTCAGGCTGGCCTGAAACTCATGGTGATCCTCCTGCTTCAGGCTCCTGAGCACCAGGATTACAGGTGTGCACCAGAACATCCAGGCAAAATTTTCCAGCATTGATACACTGATACCTGTGTGTGTGTATATCAGTGATACTTGATTACTATTGGGATAACATTGATTCAACAAATAGTTCTTAAACTATTACACTTTTCTATGATAGATATATTAGAAAATGGAAATTAAGATGAAATGATGTATAAATATAAAAAATTTAAAAGTTAACCTCAAATCAATGTAAAACATGGTAATCTTATTAGAAGTACTTAAATTTAGGCCAGGGATTTACCTCAGTGGTTCCACCGCCTGTCTCGCAAGCACAAGGTCCTGAGTTTGATCCCCAGCACACACAAAAAAAGGTACTTAAGTTCAAAGTAAAAGACGATAGTTTTTAGGTACCATATAGCTAAATATTCCCCCCAAAAAGATTCCATCTTAGCTGGCCATCATGCACACACCTATTATGCCAGCACTCAGGAGACTGAGGAAGAGGATCACCACTAGTTTGAGGCCACCCTGGGCTATCCATTGAGTTCGGCCAGTCTGAACTACATAGTAAGACCCAGTCTCAGAAAACAAACAAAAAATTCTATTTATATACATGTATGTGTGCATGTGTGTGTGTATGTACATATATATGTATATATATATATATATGTGTGTGTATATATATATCCTATCTTCATTATGAAAGTAAAAGTACAATTATATATCAACATTAAAATTGTTTCTTCAGAAAAGGGCTAAAGGTGTAGGGAAAGTGGAAAGGGTAGGGGAAAGGTAATAATGGAAAAGAAAAAAATATGAGGCCGGGCGTGGTGGCGCAAGCCTGTAATCCCAGCACTTGGGAGGCTGAGGCAGGAGGATCGCTATGAGTTCGAGACCAGCCTGGACTACATAGTGAGTTCCAGGTAAGTCTCAACTACATAGTGAGACCCTGTCTCAATAAACCGAAAGAAAAAAAAAAAAGACTTTCTACCATGAACTCAGACTATGAAAACCAGACTGGTGTAATCTAAAAGATAATTTAAGAATGATGGATCCTGGACCAAGGATTTAGCTCAGTGGTTCTGTCGCCTGCCTCACAAGCTCAAGGACCTGAGTTCGATACCAGTACCAAAAAGCAAAAAAAAGAATGATGGATCCTTTCTCAATACAAAATAGTCCTAAACCAGACTCAGTCCTATTATCCCAGGTACTTGGGAGGTGACAGAATCACAAGCTGAAGGACACCTTAGGCAACTTAGACCCTGTCTCAAAGGGCTGAGGGTGGAAATGCCCAGAATTAAGAAAGCCCCAATACCATCAAAAAAAAAAAAAAAAAAAAAAAAACCAAAACCACCAAAAAAAAAAAAAAAAAAAAAGAAACTCTTGAAAGAATAAAAACATCAATATTGACAAGGAGACATTTTAGATTATCAAGATCACAAGCTGGTTTCATTCATGGCTTCGCATATGAGTGATAACTCTAACCTGAAATGGTAAAAATATTGTAATATTTTTAATGTTTTATTTAATGTTTATGGTAATGTTTTAAGCACAGAAAAACAAGCATACTCGGGTATTAAGTTTAAGCCCTTTTTCGGACTTGTGACACCAGTACCTTACTCCTTCCTCTGATGTATGTTATTCAAATGATTACCTAATGTATGTCAAATGAAACCAAAACTCCACTTGCTGAAATACTAACCAGTAATTCTTTGTCTCCTGAAAGGTTGTAACAAACATGTTAGTTTAAACAAAACTCTAACACATACCACTTGTTTTTTACAATAATATATTCTAACTTTGTGAAGTGGAAATACAGGACTCCAGAACTTTTGTTCAGAACCAGTTCTACCATTTTCATGCCATACTTACCAGTTTTGTTTCTACCGGGTTTGAACTGTCTTCCTAAAATACAGGCAAGCGCTCTACCGCTTAGCTGCATGCCTAATCCTTTTTTTTTTTTCTTTTCTGGGGGGGGGGGCTAGGTTGCCAGGCTGGCCTCCAACATGCAATCCTATCTCAGCCTCCAAAATAGGTGGGATTCCAGGCTTGCACCACTGCACCCAGCTCTACTGTTTTGAATAAACCACTCAACTTGCTTTTTCATCTGCTAAATGGAAGTCAAAATACTACCTATACCTTGAAGTATAGCTCTGAGAATGACATGGATAGATGAGAACTGTGTTGTGCCAGGCGAGTGTGTATGTACACTAAACAAAAAAACCTGGCACACGGTGAATATAAACTAAAGTCAACTTTCAAATATGTAGTGTCATCAATGCAGGATACAGTTAAATGATATATAACACATGTTTTACTGTGCAGTTCATATCAACTTTAAATTTTCTGAAAGACATTCTCCTACCCGTGCCTATACTGTTCAGCAATTGTTTTAATGTTTGAACAGTTTATTTAACCCCTATTAATGATACATATTTTAACTAGGCATAAAAATAAATGTCAAAAAGAATTTGTTAGATTTTCAAAATAAGCCTTTGTACTCCTTGTAGCATTAACTATAAAGTGCTCGTTCATATCAGTTAATCATAATTCCTAGAACTTTAGAACTTTTAAATCAAAATTGAAATCAAAAGCTTATATCGAACTCATCAACTTAATTCTGCTCATCAAAGGATGGTCAAAATAAAACCTAATATACTTTAAAAAATGCATGAGTGATTCTAAAATAAAATCTACCTTAAAAAGCAACTAGAAATACGAAGTTTTCCAAAGAGATCAGAAGTAACGCTATTAACCACTGAAATATATCACAACTACTACAATTTAAGTGTCCTATTAAACACGGAGTGCATTTTCGTCAGTCTCACATTACTGTAACAAGCTTTACAGAAAAGCGCTAATTCCTTTAGGGGCCTCCCTGATAGATGACTTAAAGCATTACCAACTAAAACCGTGACCCTCACGCTGAAACACAACTATGTAATAAAAGACTTTAAGCCACGTAATGTTCTACCTTCGTAACTGTATTTTAGTAGGGATTACAAGTATTTCATTCTGCGATTTTTTAAGACATTCTACTCGCTGTTCTTTTCCACGATTTTTAACGTGCTTTAAACTTTGTCCCAAATTTGATCACAATATAGATGATTAAAAATCACGATAAAGACTGCATCACTGTCTACGAATGAGGGTTTTTAGAAAGTAATGATGAAATACAAAACAATACCCTTTCTTTCCAGTCGAGAAAAGTGATAGTTTGGGGTCTCCTCCCTACACAAGGAAGTTGGGTTAAATCCGGGCGAGACCAGCCATATTGGAAAACACTTGTCAATTACAGCTCTGACAAGTGTTCGCGCACACGGTCGGAGGAAGCTAGCCTCGCGCACCGAGGTGTACACCGAGGCCCTCTCCGGCTGCGCCAGGGGCGCTGGGCCCGCGCGGGGACTGTCCCGAGCTGGCGCCGGAGCTAACCGTCCCCGGGTCACAAATTCTTGGCCTTGTGAGACCTTCGTCCACGAGGCGTGGCTGAGAATATGAAAAATAAAGCCAGGCGTTGTCGTGCGTTCCTGTGATCCGAGCGCTCTGGGAGGCTGAGGCAGGACGACTGCGAGCGAGTTCAAGCCCAGCCTGGAGAATTGAGACACTCAGCAAGAGCCAGTCTCCAAATAATGAATAAATAAAAATTATAAATGAGGTGGGACGGTAGTTCAGTGTGAAGACCCTCGGTTCAATTAATCCCTGCACCAAAAAAAGTTAACCACGCAAGATAATGAAGTCTGTGTGCACAACAAAGGCCTACAGGTCTGTCCTGTTTTATTATCCCAAGGGATAGTGGGATACAAACTGGGAGCAAACCTCTCTTTGGTTCAAGTCTTCAAACTTTTTAGTTCATGAGCGCCATAAAGATTCGGTAACTCTGTGTACGCCCTTGTACAGTTTAAAGGTACAACTGCGTTTTTCCAGTTTATCAAGGGTATTTCATGTCGCATTTAAGTGTAGCCAGTGTAGTTTAAATACCGTAGGAATTAGCCGCCAGGGATGGTGGCAAAGGTGTGTGAGAATAGACCCTAACCTAATAGCCACTGGGGCTAGGGCAAGACAGGACCTCACTTTGTAGTTCAAATTGACCACAAACTCGCCAAGACCCTCCTGCCTCAGCTTCCTGCCTGCTGGGATTACAGACATGCACAACCACACCTGGCTTTCCAGTTTTTTATAACACTTGGATAATTTCCACTTTTTCTTTTAATCTTTTGGAGCCTTCCTTAGGAATATAAATCTACGTTCTATTTGCCTTTCCCAATTTTATCCTAATAATTCATTTTATATTTGAACTTTTTTCTTGATCATTGTCTCACATTTCTCTGTAATAAAGACGTGTCTCTACATGCTTAGAACACTGGAGGTTGGGGGGGGGATGCAGATTTGGGGCCAGCCTGGACAATTTAGGGAGACCGGAGACTGTCTCAAAAATAAAAAAACTTATGGGGATGCAGCTCCGTGGGCCAAGGGCCCCTGGGCTCCATCACCGATATTGCAAATATTAATAATTTTTAAAAGCTGGGGATGTAGCTCGGCATTCCAAGTTCAGTCCCCAGTACCACAAAAAATTTAAAGTGTATACATATGTAAATTTGTGGGTGGTTTTTTTATGTTTCTCATGAAGCCAGATCTCTTAGAAGTCTCATTTTTATCTGAGCAAAGTAGATGTATTTTGAATATTTGTAGATAAATAATGAACCCAAAGCCGGGCATGGTGACACACACCTGTAATCCCAACACTCGAGAGGCTGAGGCAGGAGGATTGCTGTGAGTTCGAGACCAGCCTGGGCTACATAGTAACTTCCAGGTCAGTCTCAACTACATAGTGAGACCCTGTTTCAAAAAAAACACACACACAAAAAAAAAAAAAACCCAAAAGTAAAATTTGATTTTTCCCCACTAGGGTATCAGTGGATGAGTATCATTCCATTCCCAGTCCACCAATCCAAGCGCTGAGAAAGTGTGTTTTCAGAAATTAGCAGATGAGAGTGAATAGTGAGTGTTTCTGTTACCCACTCCCTCGAGCTCAGTCCAAATTATGAGCAGAAAAATTACATGAAGATCAATCAGAGAAAAAACTTTTATCTGACAACTCTAATTTGGTGCTTCAAACCAGGTGGGGTGGCAGCCGCCTGTAATCCCAGCGGTCAGGAGGCTGAGGCAGAAGGATGGTGTCGAGTTTTCCGGGCCAGCCCGGGCTGCATGGTGAGTTCGAAGCCAGCCTGAACTGTACAGTGAGCCCTTGTCTAAAAAGTTCTTCAGCTCCCATGGACATAGCCAGTTCTCCCTCACCAAGGACTTTGGTGTCCTGGGAAGCTTTGCATTCAGCAGCGGAAAAGCAGCGCCTGTGTTCCCTGAAACTGGGGAGGAGCAGTGGGGCTGAGGGAGCCGAGAGAGGAGCCCCCTCACCTTCCAGGGCAGGGCACACGTTCAGCCAGCCGGACTGGAAGGCAGACTGCCCGAGGGGCCGTGGACAGCTGATTGCTTCAGAACACCTTCTGCCCACGGTGTCGCTCAGTGGCAGGCACACTCAGTTTGCCTGGCGGTCACAAGGTGTTGAGTCAGAACCCAAGCACCACCAAAAGAAGAAACAAAGAGGCCAGGCGAGCTGTTGCACGCCTGTAATCCCAGTACTCAGGAGGCCGAGGCAGAAGGATCACAGAGAGCTCCACACAAACCTGGGCTAAGTAGTTTTCTAGGCCAGTCTAAACTACAGAGCAAGGATCCTGCCTCAAAACAACAACCAGAAATGCACAGCATCTGTGATCCCACGCGTCGCAGAAAGCTTCATTCGCCGCGAACACTCCAGTCGTGGCTTCTGCTTCAGTCTTGCGAGCGTCTGTTACAAGGAAGGCTGCCGCCTCAGGGGAAAACTTCAAAACTCGCAGGATAATTCACAAATACCTGCACACACCTGCACTGCAAGGAATGCACCGCCGACACTGCGCCCCGGAGAGGTGCATGGGCGCCCTGGCAGATGGCATGGACGGGTGTGCGGAGCCCGCAGCTCAGCACGGCGGCCAGGGCTCCCTTCCTGCTGAGCGGACCGGGTGAAGTGCGGGGCGGGGACAGGCTGTGGTCCACACAACAACCTCCTCGGGGCTGGATCCTGACAGTGGACAAGCTCTGTGGAGGGGCAGCTGTGAAAGGGCGATCAGTCCCCCTATTGCCTAGAAAGGGGGCTAAAGAAAAGGGAAGATGGAGACTTGCGGAATTTGAAAGTACGTGAGGGGCGGGAGGTCAGTGCCCAGCAGGCAAAGACAGACGCTGCGCGGGCCCTGATCACTGAGGGCGCCCAACGACCCACGGGAGCGTTGGCGACTAGGGAGCAGCGAGATCCGGGGTCCCCGCGGTTCTTATGCTGATGAGGATCCTAGTCCTCGGGTTCTTATGCTGATGAGGGCTGTAGGGAGAGCATTGTTACAACAGCAGGTGGGAGGAGCCAAACTGCTAGGAATTTGTCCCACCCGAGGTGAAATTTTTCTCCTACTACTCACAGCTTTTGCTAGGAACCAGCAAGTCTTCAGCTGATGCAATCCTGCCCTGGAGTGTCACAGCACCAGGGACCCCTGAGGTCTTAGCTGTGACCAGAGGCAAAAATGGAGCTACCTCTTGACATGCCACAGGCAGCCTGTAGGCAGGAAAACTAGGCCTAACCATAATTTAAATGTCAAACGATTTTCCCCCAAAATTCCACGTAGAATTGCTCCTGACAAATATGTAAGAAAAAAATAGTTTAATCGTGACACAGTAGTTAACCAGCAGAAGTCACAGCTAGAAAGCTAAAAGACACCACACTTGTAATCCTGGCTCCCTTTGAGGGCCAAGCAAAGGGATCACAAGTTTCAAAAATAAGCAAGTCGTGGGCCTGGTATTTAGCTTAGTGGTCCTGCCAACTGCCTCGCAAGCACAAGGACCCAAGTTTGATCCCCGGCACCAAAAATAAAAAAGTAAACAACTGTTAAAAGGGCTGGGATAGGGCCGGGGATTTAGCTCAGCGGTTCGGCGGCCTGCGTCTCAAGCACAAGGATCCGGTACCAAAAAAAAAAAAAAAAAAGGGGGGGGGAGGCGGGGCCGGGATACGCTGTGGTGGTGCGCACCTGTAATCCCAGCACTCTGGGAGGCTGAGGCAGTGGAGCTCGAGACCAGCCTGGGCTACACAGGGAGTTCCAGGTCAGCCTCAACTACATAGTGAGACCCTGTCTCAAAAAACCCAAACAAACAAACAAACAAAAAAACAAAACCAAGATCTCACTATGTGTAGTTCAGGCTGGCCTTGACTTTACACCTAAAGACCCCAGGGAGCTACCTCAGAACTGACTTTTTAGAGAACAATCTCGTTTTCCATCACAGGCCTTAGCGTACTGCGAATGCTGTGCAATTGTGAGAACAGGACACAAAGGCCCTGCACCCGCCTGCGGCCCCAGGCCCCACGGCAGGCCAGCGCCCCCTCAAACCCCCTCCTGGTGTGGCTGTGGCCTCACCGCCCAGCCTGTCTCAGGCCCTGTCCTGTGATGCCACGTCATCCTTGTCATCACACTGCGGTGTGGTGGGAGCAGCACTTCCACTTCGAGGCGAGGGTCACACACGGAGCCCCACAGCAGCCTGTGGCTGGGCTGCCCAAGTACTGCCGTTAACTTCGTCTTGTTCTTAGATAAGGTCCCACTATGCGGTCCAGTCCAGCCTTGAACTCAGTGATCCTCCTGCCTCAGCCTCCTGAGATCAGGGATTACAGGTGTGTGCCACTATACATGAGTGAAATTAACTTTTAGAACTTTTTGTTTGTTTTGGTTCTGGGGATTCGAACCCAGGACCTGAAGCGTAGTAGACAAACTACCCTTTACACTCTATCCCAGCCCTAGCCTAGAGACTTCCATGACATGCATGAGGTTACTAATCCGATAAGAAAAACGGTATTTTATGTCATCAGTGGTTTGTTTTTCTCATAATTCACTTTTATGGTATTTTCCTTTTTCTGGTACTGATAACTGAACCCAGAGCCTTTGCACTGAGCTCCAGCCCCAGCCCTTGTTTTATTTATGTTTTTAAATTCGGAGACAGTAGCTCCCTAAGTCACTAAGTCACCCAGGCTGTGTTAGAACTTTTGATCCTCCTGCCTCAGCCTCTCAGAAAGCTGGGATTAGAGATGTGCACCGCCACACCCCACTACTACATTTTACTAACGCATCAATCTGGAAATTGAAAGAAATACAGGGTTGGGGGATGGGGCTCCAGGGGAGAGCACTTGCCTCGCTTTTTAGAGGCCCTGGCTTGAGTCTCAGCACCAAAACAAACACAAATAAACAAGACAACAAAAAAATTGCTGGTCCTTCACAAATCAAGAGTCCGCTGCTGTAGGACTCCTTCCTTCCGGTTTGGAGACTGTAATTCGACCCCTAATTACAAAGTGTGTGGAAACACAACATTGCG